CCAAAAGTTAGTTTTAGATGAGCTTACTTTTTGCAAGTTCCAATAAAACTCACCCAGTGGTTCACAAGACAATTTGCAAACAGACAAAATAACAATAGGCTACAAAATAATCGTCCAGCTTCAGTTTTCGGCAGCAGGTGGAATGCAGATGTAATAATTACCGTATTTTCCGGCTTATAAGTCGCAGTCACTGTCTGCAGACGGTTGAGACTTTATACTCCAGTGTCCACACTGAGCGGCTGCAGCCCAGCTCCGCAGGTAAGGGGCGTTTACCTTTGGGACAAATTGAGTTCACTGATTGGTCATTTGCTGACACGCCTACTATATTGATTGACAAGTCGCAAAAACAAACAAAAAACAAAACGAGAGCTGGCAGCCCAGCCGCAGTGTTGTTGTGTTTATATGTTGTTAATAAAAAGTTCTAAAAAAATTTTAAAAAAAGGGGGGAGAGCTGGCCCTGCAGTCCACACATCAGACCAGCCCACCTGGAAATCTCCAGACCCTCCCACAGTCACACTGGATCTGATTTAAATTTGCTCGTGACAAGTTCCTTCATTTCTCACAATTTCAGTCATGGCGTCAACGGACGAAGAAGAGATCGCTTGTCTTTTTGCAAAAAAAACCAAAAAAAAAGAAAACACCATTAAACCAGATCAGGGAAGAAGTCTAAGCTCTTCGCATTATGGACGATCTTTACATAAAAAGTTTTATTTGAAACGGTAAAAGCAGCCCTGCTTGTCTGTTAGCACAATATCTTATGAGCCACTGCACAGATTTTACTGAAACATTCAGAAAGTGGAAGCTTCATCTGACTGACATATGGAGTAAACTCAAATCAAGACGACCTTTAATAAGACTTTTATAAATAAATAAATAAATAGAGTCATGATAAAAACAAGGATGGACCAACCGTGGCCTGTGAGGTCAGTGAATAACATATATAGACATGGACTAATGAGGAAGTGAAGACACCTGGGCTAATGACGAACTGGGAACAGGTGAGAGTGGGCGGAGCTGGAGTTAGAACTGACTGATCGAGGATAAATGACTATTGGGACAAACAAATTCACAAAACAACCGAAAATGTGTAACTTCCCCCTCCAGGTCAGAGGGCAAGTCTGTACCGTGTCACTAGAATGGAGATGGATCAATGGATCGTGACCTCGTCCTCAGTAATCAGGGTGTTGCTTTGGTCGTTTGTAGTGAAGAGAGTTGAGTTGAAAGGCAAAGCTTTTGATTTACTGGTCTGTCTACGTTCCAACCTTCACCTCTCGTCATGAGGTAGGATGCAAACCTCCCTTTGGAGGTGTTTTGGGCACACCCCACTTGGAAGAGGTCCAAGTATGGAGGCAATCAAGTCTCTCTTAAAAATGAGTCCCAGAGGCTCAATGGGATTAACCTGTATAAATAAAGGTTGAATGAAAAAAAGAGACCTCAAGGCAGACCCAGAAGTCACTGGAGGGACTGCGTATCTTCTTCGTCTTGGGAACGCCTTGGGGCACCCCAGGAAGAGATGGAGAGTATCGCTAGTGAAAGGGAGGTTTGGGTTTCTCTCGTTTTTTGAACATCTACGGCTCGAACATGAATTGTCATCAGAAGATGAAGGAATACAGAAAAGGAGGAAACACTCAGCACATACTCCAAGCATGTCCACGTCTTGCGAGTCGTGGCAGTGGGAGCCATCTAAAATTAAAACTCATGGTGAAAGGTGGCAGCTATTAGGCATGCCTTCAAGAAAGAAAAGGACTTTATTTACATCATATATTTCTCACACTATATGAAAAGTTTATAAACTCTGAAATTAGATGTAGGGTAAATATATTAGATTATGCTTTATATAAATGCACCCAATGACATGTTGGTTTAAACGACTCCAACAATGCACCTTAATCGACTTTTCTTGCTGCCATCACGGTGTTGTTTAATGTTGGACCTTTGAGACAAGATAACCCGGCTCCATCTAAAACCATCTCCCTGCTGGCTAATAACCGCTCCCAGACATTAGATTTCTCTGTAAGATGGTTGCTGCTGATGGCCGTTGTAACGATGAGCGGCGGCTCCCTTGGGTGTCATCTCTAGCCGGCCCTGCTGCCGCCTGCCTCGTATAAAAATTGTCTGCAGTGTCTGTTGGAGTGAGGGACTAATCTATCTGAGGCTGTGATCCCCCTGGATCCTTGGACTGGCTGTGAGGGGTCAGAGAGGGCGCAGGGATGCTGAGGAACGGCCATTACGGTCCCTCCGCTTCAGTGTACGAGCTGCCGGCGCCTGACTGATGCCTCTTAGAGAGGATTTGGCGCTGCTGTGGTGTGTGTTATGAAGAATGCACTTTAATATATTGCTTCTGCGTCTGAAGGAGGGGGGTTTGTGCGCCTCCTGGTCCGCGTGAACGAGACGGAGGTAATCGAGTAAAGAGTTTCATTCAGTTCCTCTGATGAAGGATTCCAGGGTGCGCACATCCATCAGCTCCTCGTTTCTTAACGCTCTCATATCCACAGTTTTGAGTTTGACCCAAACCGACCAAGATGAACGGCCTAGAGATCATCTCAAACTGAGAATGGACACGGGGCAATTCTCGAGTTAAATCGCACTATCTCAAAAGAGACACAGAGAGCTAATGTCTTCAGTCTTTGTTAAGGATGGCTCTACTACCACAATTTGTAGCTCGATAGCTGTAAAAATGAGCTATACCCATTTTTGTGTTAGTTAAAGTTGATTAGTTTTGTTGGACATCTTAAACTGAGACGACTCCAAATGTCAAGTCAATGTTCTTTACTGTCATTCTCATCACGTGGTACATGTGATGGAACGAACAGGGTCCCAGTTACATCCCAAAAAAATATATAAATTGTAAATCAAAACAGTAATAAGATCTAAGATACAAACTAAGAAATACACTAAACTAAGAATACGCTACGCATTAATAATACGAAAACAATACGCCGAACAACAGATATGCAAAAGATGAGTTGTAGATGTTCATCCATCGAGTACTTTCTGGGTTTCACTAAAATCAATCCAGTGGTTCACGAGATATAATGCTACAGGCAAACAAAGAGACGTGGAACAAAAGGGCTGTTTCTTCCCAATGACGATCCTAAATCCATCGACAAGAAAATACGAGAAAAGAGGAAAACATTTTACACTAAATAATAAATTCTGCTGTGGAAAAATAGGAAGGTTTCAACTGCACAGTAAATCTCTTGGGGCGTAATTAACAATAAACAGTTTGTATTTGTTTTTTCTAAGCCTCAAACACTGAGATGGGGGGTGGGGAACAGACAGACTGGCTGCCTGTGGCACTCATTCCCAGTGCTGGTCCTCAGGGCTCACTGGCCTGCACTTTAGAGGTTTGTTTGCTTCAAAACATCTGGTTTAAAGTGATGGTCATAATGGGCTTCTTCATGACAAGGTGTTGAAGCCATTTGCCTGTGACGCAGCCATGTTGGGAACAAAAACCTGTCTAAAACATCCAGAACAGTGTCCTGAGGACCTGGACTATGGGGTTTGCCTCATGATTACTGAATACATGCATGCTCTTTTGAACTGTTCATTTTTTCTAATGGGTCTAAAGGTTCAGTTGGTAGAGCCTCTCAGCGAGGTCACTGGATCCAATCCCAGATGGGGATCTCTCTGTGCATACATGGGTTTCCTCCCACAGACAAAAACATGAATATTAGTCTGATTGGTAACTATAAATTGTCCCTAGGTGTGAATGGTTTGTCTCACTTGTCTCTATGTGGCCCTGTGATGGACTGGAGACATGTCCAGGGTGTCCCTCGTCTCGTGCACAGTGACTGCTGGGATATGGGCGGCAGAGACCCCCTTGACCCGAAAAGGAAGAAGCGGGTAAAGATAATGGATGGGTGGATTTTTTTTTATGTGCGCTGACCGTTTATTTATTTCTTTATAGGAATATACAAAACAAAAAGCAAACATTTTAAAAAGCAGCCATTATAAATTAGCTGTAGACTAAGTGCAATTGAATTCTGGTGAATTTATTCTTAGTAGTTTCAAGAAAATAGAAAGAGACTAACAGATGAGGTCAGGCAGGAATCCCTGTGGATTATCATGTTTGCAGATGACATTGTGATCTGTGGTGAGAACAGGGAACAGGTGGAAGAGAACTTGGAGAGGTGGCAGTATGCACTTGAAAGAAGAGGAATGAAAGTCAGCCGTAGTAAGACAGAGTCCATGTGTGTGAATGAGAGGGAGGAGGTGGAACAGTGAGGCTACAAGGAGCAGAGGTCACAAAGGTGCAGGACTTCAAGGACTTGGGGTCCACTGTCCAGGAACATGGGGAGTGTGGTAAAGAAGTGAAGAAGAGAGTCCAGGCAGGATGGAGAAAAGTTTCAGGAGTGACTTGTGACAAGAGAGTGGCAGCAAAGGTCAAAGAAAAAGTTTACAAGACAGTGGTGAGACCAGCTATGTTGCATGGTCTGGAGACAGAGACATGGACAAAAAGACAGGAGACAGAACTGGAAGTGGCAGAAATGAAGACGTTGAGGTTCTCCTTAGGAGTGACAAGGATGGAGATTAGGAATGAGATGATCAGAGGTACAGCACAGGTTGAACAACTGGGAGATAAAGTTAGAGAGACCAGACTGAGATGGTTTGGACATGTCCAGAGGAGGGACAGTGGTTTGGACATGTCCAGAGGAGGGACAGTGGGTATATTGGTAGAAGGATGTTAGAAATGCAGCGGCCAGGAAAAAGACACAGAGGAGACATATGGATGCAGTTAGAGAGGACATGGAGGTAGTTGGAATGAGGACAGAGGACACAGAGGACAGAGATGGAGGAGGAGGACTCACTGTGGAGACTCCTGAAGAGGGACTAGCTAATTAGAAGAAAAAAAAAAAAGAGTAAAATTAGAGAACTACTATTACAAAGAACACCGTCCTTCACATGGATTTCTGTTTGGGGAAAAAGTACAAGACAAACATCAAACAAGTTTTATATATATATATACTTTTTACTTTGAATACATACAAACAAGATGCTTTTGCAGGATCCTTGCTGTGTACAAGTACACAGAAATACACATATTTATTGGTGATTTCGACTCCAGTTTGAACAGATCGTTGAAGAGGACTCCAGCACCCAGCATTCACTCTCTCCAGTCGTTTGACACAACATTCAAAGGGCAGCGATCAGAAAGTGGACGGCGGTGGCAGAGGAGTGATAATCCTGCGGTGACCTTATCTTCTGCTGACAATCGCCTCCCAAAGGCAGGCAGCCGTTAGACGGGTGACATTATAACTCGGCGCCGCCCTTCAGCAAACTCCTACGAGCTCTCTAAGTCCATCTGTTAGAAGCCTGACAGTTTCGTGTCAGGTGGCGGCCCCGCGGAGACGCTGCGAGCCACCACAGTTCAGAGAATAATGGCCAGCCAGCCGGCGATCATAGCTACTCCACCCATGGGGGCCAGTTTGCCCAGACTGGGGTCCCCCGTCAGAGCCTGGTGATACAGGGGCCCGCAGAACATCCCCATACCGGCGATCAGGATGGTGCCGGCCTGAAAGGAAGAGGGTGTTCTTTACTCACTGTTCGTCATCTGTAAAGTTAATTATTGTGAAATCATTGAAGTTGGATGTTGTGGAACCGTTCAACTCTGGAAAAATATATTTAAATACATAATTTAAATCCCCAAACCGTTGAGATTAAGGCCCCTGACAGTAGGTGGAAACAAACGAGACGTGTAGGCTGCAGTTGGCAGTCGTTGTGACACCAGAACATTTTTGGACTTGTGTGAATTCTGAGCCAACGTTCAAACTGTTTTTCTGTTTAACGTTTATTTTAAATGTTTTATTTGCAATCGAACTACTTCCAAATACCTTGTATTGTTTTACCAATTAAAACATCAAAACATTCAGCTCAAATGGCTTTTCGTCTTTATAACTTTGACACTTTTTAATTATCTCAATTTACAAAAATGTCTCCATTGAAATATGTTGAGATCTCTTTAAAAACATCAGTTTTAGCCTTTTATGCTCTTAACTTTTAGCTACTGTCCTACTAATTTTAGCTGCTAGCTACAGTTTTGTTGGTTTTAGCTTTTACCAGTCTTAGTGAAGTTTTTCGTAATTAATGCGAATGCTCAAAAGCTGTACTTTGTGGTGCATTGTGGTCTAGATATATTCGTGCCTACTTCCAATTTGTTGAAACACAATCAAAACAATACACACGACATGCAATGACCATGAGTACCAGAACTATAAATGTATTTGGACACGTGGTGCCACAGGTGCTTTAGGACGTGTAAAAAGGTAAAGATTTTAGCTTAAAGATTAAGATTTCAGCAATAGTTTTGGTAATTTAAGCTTTTACCTACAGTTTTAGGCCTTTGGCGACTGTTTCACTAATTTTAGCTGTCAGCTACAGTTTGGTTGGTTTTAGCTTTTAGCAACTGTCTAACTAATTATTGCTTTTAGGTTACGATTTTAGCTACCGTGTAGCTAATTTAAGCATTTAGCTACAGTTTGCTAATTAGAGTGTTTAGCTAGTTTGCAAATTTAAGTGTCTAGCTACAGTTTGCTAATTTAAGTGTTTAGCTACAGTTCGCAAATTTAAGTGTTTAGCTACAGTTCGC